TATATATATATATAAAATTGTAAACAATATATAATAAATAAAATATGTTCTCTATCTCTTTTTCTTATTTGTTTATAAATAAATGACATATGCAAAATATACTATCTCAAAAATCTATCTGAAAAAAATCTATCTATCTGAAAATGCATAAAATTTATTAATTATTCAAAGTTTATTAATTTACATATTTTTTCAATCAACTGACAGCGCATTTGCTAATTCAGAGATCGAAAATTGAGTACAACTCGAAATCACATGAAGAATGTAATAGCCGATAAATTTTTCATATTGATAATGTATTCATATGAATATAATTAAGAACTAATCTTGTTAAATCAAGTTTTGCCAATACGCAATAATTGAATGTCATAATGTTTGATCATAATATGTTATATGGACATATTAACGCTCCGATATTCATTACAGCGCAATATAGTATATATTACATTACAATAAAAAGATATCTTTTTTATTCTATGAAAGGTACATGTATAAACTTTTTCTTTTTATATCTATTTATATCTTTTGAAATATTTAATTATTTTTCATCTCATTATTTTTATAATAAAAACTAATATATTAAAAAAAAAATATTTTATTGTCTTATGAAAGCATTGTTGAAAAAAAAATCACGAAAGTTTAAAATTATTAAGTCATTCAACGTTTTTATTTTGTATCAATTGTAAAAGAGAATATGGCAAGAACATATATTTTATTTTGTACATTTCAAAAAATTTTGATTTTATTTAGCTATACATACATATAATATCACGTTTTAAAGTACTCATTAAGAAAATTTAAATATATTTTGTAAGATTTTATATTGGTTTATATTGGTTTTTTATATTGTTTGTTATTCGATTTTATATTTGATTTTATTATAAGTTTTTTATCTATGAGAAAAATATTCTGATTATATCAATAAAAAAACAAAACAATTTTGATCAGATGAATCAAAATTTCATTGCAGTTATCGTAAATTGAATTTCTAATCAGCTTGACTAAAATATTTTATAGATTTAATTATAAATGTCTGATTTGTATCTTTCTGATTGAATCTGATTAGAATTCCAATTAATGCAACAAAATTGTTTTCCAGTGATATACTGTCAGTAATATACTTGCCTTCATGAGTTTTATAAATATTTTTTAGTGAAATGATAATTAGGCATTAAACTAAAATTGATGGATAAAAAACTTGATGCCAATTCTACATGTAACGAAATATTTTTTTTATATTTAATAAATATGTATATATACATATACACATGTATATAT